CTTTTGTATGTGTGTCTGTGTGTGGGTTTGCATAAATTTAGGAAAATCAGACTGGTAAGCCATTCATTCTATCTACTGCAGCAAGAAAAACAAATGATCTGACCATGAATAAGAAGAATTAGAAGTAACTTCTGCTCCATTACATCATTCATACAAAGACTATGAATTCATAACTAGTGTGAGTAATAGCATGATTTCTTTTTTCAGTAAGAACTCCAGAAATCAGAGTTTGATTTCAGCTTCTAGTAGTGAAAGTAGATTTTCTTTTCCATTAGATTTATATATATATATATATAAAAGAACAAATTGTAGGAAGAAAAGAAAAGTCTAAAAAGGAAGTAAACAGAAATGTAGATATTTAGGACAAGTTAAAATAACAAGGACACTCAAAACAGGTCTAAATATACAAAGAAAACAATTAGATTCGAGGGAAACTAAAATAACTTTTAAGAGAGGCAGGAATGCAGAATCTTCAAAATTCTTAGAGAATTACTTGAGTCTTTAAACTATTTCATGTGTAACTCAAACTATTTCTTGTGTAAGTTCATGTGTACTCTTGAGTCTTTAAACTTTTTCACTTGTAACTCCTACTAAAACAAATACTTAAAGAGTATGAAGGGAAAGAAGAGAACCCATAATTCATAAGAGCTGAACTTCCCTCTCAGCTTGGGAAGTCTGGCTCAGTGAACCTGAGGCACTATTTACATCCTCTGAAGTTAATGGGAAGCGGGGCCTCTTCCATAGAAGACATCCGAGGGAGCAACTAAAGAAAGCTTGTCCCATTTAGAGAAAAAGAATCAACCACTCCATTAAAAGGTGTGAACTTCTTCATTGTCATTTGCCTCTGATGCAAGTCCAGAGTTGATACAGGTCCCATTAGGAAAAAGTTCAACTTCCTACTGCTTTTCCTCACATAGTTGTAATTAAAGTGAGTCCTCTGCCAAGCACAGGTGTGGCAGGGCTGATGCCAGACTAACGGACCTGTCAGAGTTATTAAAATGACTTCCTCAGCCAATTTCACATCTTCTTTTTCCAAACCTATATAAGAAATGAGTATTTTTTGTCCAGATATAAAGACTCCAGCACACAACTGTGAATAATTGATGGATTGGTGAAATCTGCAATGTTTATGCATCAAACACAGACAATAGGATTTTGGCAAAGAGCAATGCTTGTGCTACCACAGTATTTCCATGTTTCACTATCATCAAACACATATTACAGACATAATTGCTTTGGCTATTTCTGAGGTAATACACAAAATAGTTAGCTATGTTGAGTTCTTTCTTCCTGTTTACATAATCTGAGGCAGAGCCAGAGATGTCTAACATTCAAGCATCTGTTCCTACTCCTTGTATACAGGTCCTGAGATCGAGTTTATTTTAGTGGTAGGGAGCAAAGCAAAAACACAGATGGAAGAGAACACGGCAGTTCCGGAAAAGGCCACGTACCTTCAGCATGTAGTAGAAGGGGAACCAGGACAGGAAGAGGTCGGAGAAGAATTCAACAAGGCTGAAGACACCATATACCACCCAGTAGGTCAGCCACTGGGTATCATCTTCTTTGTTGGGGCTTTCTATGGCTTTAATTCTGAAAGGCAATGCAAAAGCAAGTGTCTTATGTAGTAAGATCTCAGTGAGACAATTTCGATCATTATACTTGCACGCTGCCCTCCAATACCAACTGAAAAACTCAGGCAATATATGTACCATGACAGTAGATGCTTAAGTGTAACAAGAAAGCAGACAGCAAAGTAGAAATACCAAGACAAGCTATTATAACTACCTGTTACCAGTCTTCTGGTCACCAGAGATGCCAGCACCAGTTGACCCATGGGTCTCCACCTTGCCTGAGCCTCCACCACAGCTCCAGGAAATAGCACTAATGACTGGAAACTAGAGAAGTCCCCATTTTCAAGTGGGGTCCTGCCACTAGGGATATATCAAGAACTCACTCATGTGCTTCAGTTCTCATGCACTTTAACTGAAGTACATCATGAGTGAGCAGGCATTTCCATGAACAATATCTTGGGAAACATAGTTCCAGAACGCTTTCCAGAGTTCATAACATACTTCGTAACAAACAGGCAAAAACTAACAGTGTCCAGTTGGTTCTGACTGTCGTCACGTGATGCTCAGGCGGTGAACTTTCCTCCCCATATCAGTTAACACTAGGACTTTCTCAGTATCAACTACTGCTAAAACAAAATTCATTCTGTAAATGAAGAGAACTAAATGTAAAATAACCTTCTTTTACTTCTGAATCACAGGAATTTCCTTCTAGTCCTAAAAATCTCTTCATTCTAAGACCCAATTCCATAATTTTTTATCCTGTCCTGACATGTCTGGATACTTATCATAACTGAACTGATCTGCATCAGTAAACTAGAAGAAATCTGAATCTTGTTTAGCTTATGCAATGAGTTAACTACTGAAAATACACTGGCTACTTGGTAACAGGGGTTCGCCAAAAGAAACAGTCTGATGAATCATGCTGAATCATCCCCTAAGAAAGCCTCTGAATTAATCAGAAGCAGCCATGGGTGTATGTGTGCCTGCCTACATAAGTGTTTTAAGAAAATGACCAAGTGGGGAAAAATTACAGCTGACTGAAATGACTGCTAATGACATGAGGAAAAGGCAAGGAGAGAGTGATGAAGTGAATGCTGTTTTGAACGTCAAGAGTAAATACAGAATCATAAAATAAATTGAAGAGAGCTAATTATAAAATAATGGCTTGTCACATGTAGACTGTGTCTGTGTTTTAGCGTTCCTCGGGTAGAAACTAGATGATACAACAGGAAGTCAAAGGAGAAAGTAGGCAAGCATGTGAACCAAAGAGCTAACAAATGTACATCCGTTACATGGAAGGTTTTCTTATTCCTGCTATGCTTTATTTGGTATAGTATAAAGTTTATCTGGGGAAGATCCCCTGGAGGAAGGCATGGCACCCCACTCCAGTATTCTTGCCTGGAGGGTCCCATAGACAGAGGACCCTGACAGGCTAGTCCATCGGGTTGCGCAGAGTCAGACAGGACCGGAGCGATGCAGCACAAGCACGCATGGCTTATCTACCCACCTTTAAGTGGACTTTTCATAATCACTAAGGACGATAGAAACCTGTTTCTTATACATCTCACCCTGGACAAAGGGGCAACAAGCATTTGTGAAACCACTGATATTTTTAGTTCCATTCTGTGTCATTATTACTGTTTTTACTGAGGCAGAGTTGATTTACAATGTTGTGTTCCTTTCTGGTGTACAGCAAAGTGACTCAGTTATATATAATGTGTGTGTGTGTGTGTGTGTATTTTTCTATACATTGATGGATATGATAGATATTATATTGAGAGATTGACAGTCGTGTCCAACTCTTTGCAACCCCATGGCCAGAATACTGGAGTGGGCAGCCTTTCCCTTCTCCAGGGGATCTTCCCAACCCAGGGATCGAACCCGGTCTCCCACATTGCAGGCAGATTCTTTACCAGCTGAGTCACCAGGGGAGGGAGTGGGTAGCCTATCCCTCCTTCAGGAGATCTTCCCGACCCAGGAATCGAATCTGGGTCTTCTGCATTGCAAGTGGATTCTTTACCAACTGAGTTACGAGGGAAGCCCCATTATACAGATAGTTTATTGCAAGATATTGAATACAGTCCCCTGTGTGATACAGTAGGACCTTGCTGTTTATCCATAACAGTTTGTATTTGCTAATCCCAAATTCCTAATTCAATCTAATTACCCCTACCCCCCACCCTTGGCAACCACAAGTCTGTTCTCTGTGAGTCTGTTTATAAGTTCATTTGTATTATATTTTAAATTCCACAAAGAGTGTTATCGTATGGCATTTATCTTTCTCTGTCTGACTTCACTTAGTATGATCATCTCTAAGTTCATCTATGTTGCTGCAAAGGGTATCATTTCATTCTTTTATGGCTGAGCTATATTATATTGCATATATGGATCATATCTTCTTTATCCATTCACCTGTTGATGGACATTTAGGTTGCTTCCAAGTCTTGGCTACTGTAAATAATGCTACTATAAATATTGGACACGTATATCTTTTCCAGTTAGAGTTTTATCTATACAAATGCCTAAAAGTGGGATTACTGGATCACATGGCAACTCTATTTTTAGTTTTTTAAGGAATCTCCATACTGTTTCAGACAGTGGCTACACCGATTTCCATTCCCACCAACACTGTAGGACTTTTTCTTTTTATCAGATTTGTATGTTGATGTACTTATTTACTTAGGCTGTGGTGGGTCTTCCTTGCTTTACCCGGGCTCTCTCTAGTTGCAGCTGGCAGGGTCTACTCTTCACTGTGGTGCACAGGCTTCTCATTGCAGCGGTTTCTCTCGTTGCAGAGCAGGCTCCAGACTTCAGTAGTCGCAGCGCATGGGCCCAGCAGCTGCAGCGCATGGGCTCCAGAGCACAGGCTCAGCAGTTGTGGCACATGGGCTCAGGTGCTCTGTGGCATGTGGGATCTTCCCGGACCAGGAATCAAACCAGTGTCCCTTGCATTGCAAGCAGATTCTTAACTATTGGACTACCAGGCAAGCCCTGTAGACTTTTTACTGATGGCCATTCTGACCAGAGTGAGCTGGTACCTCATTGTAGTTTTGATTTGCATTTCTCTAATATTAGCATGTTGAGCATCTTTTCATGTGCCTATTGGCCATCTGTATGTCTTCTTTGGAGAAATGTCTGTTTAGGCCTTCTGCCGATTTTTTTTTTTTTTCCTGCCGATTTTTTGATTGGGTTACTTGGTTTTTTTGTTACTGAGTTTTATGGGCTATGTGTATATTTTGGAAATTAATTCCTTACCAGTCATATTGTTTGCAAATATTTTCTCCTATTCTGTAAGCTATCTTTTCATTTTGTTGATGTTTTCCTTCGCTGTGCAAAAGCTTATAAGTTTGATTAGATCCCACTTGTTTATTTTTGCTTTTGCTTCTATTGCCTTGGAAAAACTGTAATTATCACCCAGCCAGGGCACGCTGGGTCGTCCCGGCCCTCTCAGCCTCTGCCCCCGGACCCAGAAGATCTAGAAGGAGCCGCGGGGCCGTAGCCCTGCGCGCCCGCCATGGGCCCGCGCCGGAGAAAGCCCGAAACACCAAGGAGGCGCCCCGCGAGCCCGGCTCCCGCTGCACGCCGGCCAGCCCCGTCCTTAGGCACGTCCTCCCGTTCACCTGCTCGCCGGAGATATAGAATCCTGAAGGAGATCCGAACTCTTCAGAAGACCACACACCTGCTGTTAAGAAAGACCCCCTTCTGCCGCCTGGCAAGAGAAATATGTGTTCAATTCACTCGTGGTGTGGACTTCAATTGGCAAGCCCAGGCCCTGTTGGCCCTACAAGAGGCAGCAGAAGCGTTTCTAGTTCATCTCTTCGAGGATGCCTATCTCCTCTCCTTACACGCCGGCCGCGTCACGCTCTTCCCGAAGGATGTGCAGCTGGCCCGGAGGATCCGAGGCATTCAGGAAGGGCTTGGCTGAGCTCTGGCCACCCGCCCAAGTCTCTGGTTGATACCAGAGCCTCTGCCTGTAGCCAGGACCAGATCCACGGAGTACAAGGTGTTGCCTGGACTTGCTCTCTTGAAGCAGAGCGTGTGAGTTGCTTTCGTAGTTTTTTTTTTTTTAGAAGAAGACTGCATGGCTTTCCTCTGTAACAGAGGTAATATATGAGAGAAGCAACACATTCCAGAAATCCTGAGAATAATTTTCAGATGAAGAGACTCTAAGGTTGACTTCACTTTGCAAATTATTCATGTGACTGATGATTTGGAAGACATCAGATTTTCTAGGTCATGGGCAAAAAGGATATTCACTGATTATTTTAAATCTTCTTGTACCATTTAAATTTTTTACCATATATATATTTACTTTTATTTAAAACATGATGGAAAAAATAAGAGAAGACCAGTCATTTGCATGGAATAGCCTGGCGCATCCAGCATACAAATCTCTGTCCTTCAGATTGACTTCATCATTAACAGCAGAAGCAAGTTCGTATGTGGACTATACCTGTCAACAGATTATACAGCTTTTCAAAAACTCAATTGGGATGAAAATAGAAAATTGTTAAGGTTTGATGTTCTGGCTCCTTCTGGTAAATTCCTGCCAAAATCATTCAGAAATTCCAACTTGTAGAATTTATTTTATTCTTTATTTGCAAATCATAGAAGATGTATCATAATTTATACTTCAGAATTTTTCATTCCAGGATTTTAAAGAGCCTTTTCAATGTTTTTACAGGTATTTTTATAACTTCCTTGTGGAGAGATAATAGAAATAATTCTTAATAGAAAAAATTTGAAGCAAAGTTACTGTTATACATAGATTATACTATGTTCTTTGTGTGTTAGCCTTAAATCCTTCATTTGGACACTTTGCCAACAGCCACAATTTAAACAAGAGAATTGAGGGGTGTATCCTTGCCTCCAGTGGAGTAGAGTATGAGCCGATAAAATCCTTGCTCTTCTCTTGTAACTGAAAGCAGTTAAGAGACTTCCAGAGAAATAGGAAGTGCCATCCAAAGACATTTAGATATTGTGTGTGATGAAAATGATTAGTGAGGGCAGATACTAATAATGATGCGTCAGCCAGTTGAATTCAAACTAAAGGGAAGAACCAAGTTCTGTTGTTTGATAAATTTTAACCCTTTATAAAAACATTTTCCTGTTCGACATCAACTCATTTTTATGTAAACATTAGAATAAAGCTTATCTTTGAATACAAAAAAAAAAAAAAAAGAAAAACTGTAGTTTTGATGAAAATTTCTTGGTAAGCTTATTTTAAATCACAATATTAGAGTATATTCTATGATAATAAGCTTTCAATGTTTATGTAAACATTAGAATAAAGCTTATCTTTGAATACAAAAAAAAAAAAAAAAGAAAAACTGTAATTATTTTTCAAACATTAGTCCGCAGATTCAGAAACCAAAAAATAAACAATGCCCTATGTGTCTCTTCATCTGGCTATTGATTTGTTTCCTTTAATCCTTTTATAATAGATTGGTCATCTAGTGAGTTCTGAGTCATTCTAATTAAACCTAAAGAGGGGACTCGGGAACCACTGGTTGACAGCCAGTTGGTCAGAAGCAGAAACTAAGAACCGGGGCTTGTTACAGGTGCTTCAAGTGTGAGGAGGTCTTGTTGGACTGAGCCTTTTAGCTTTGTAATTTGATTCTGTCTCTGGGTATACAGTGTCAGAATCGAGTTGAACTCTTGGACTCTCGGGCTTCCCAGGTACAGTGGTAAAGAACCCACCTGCCAATACAGGAGATGCAAGAGATGCAAGTTGGATCCCTGGGTGAGGAAGATTCCCTGGAGTAGGACATGGCAACCCATTCCAGTACTCTTACCTGGAAAATTTCACGGACAGCGCAGCTTGGCAGGCTACAGTCCATGGGGTCATGAAGAGTCGGACACGACTCAGGACACACGCACTTGGATTCTCTGCATTATCTGAGAATTGCTTGTTGATATGGAGAAGCCTTTGGAACTGGGCCCTTTGCATCTTTGACCACTCTGCTGCCTTTTATTTACATTTGCTAAACAATATTTTAACTCATATCAGAGTGAAGATATATCAACCTTTCAGACAACATACAGGATTCAAGAAATCCTAAGATGCAACTCTATCCTTAGGCCATTTGTAGTTTTTGGTCTTTAGCCAAAGAGGCAAAGATAAAGAATGGGAAGGATAGGAACTTAATAATTATTTAATTTAACCTTCAGAACAGCCTATGTAACAGGTAATGTTATTCTCATTTTTGAGAGAAAGAGACTGAGGTTTAGGGAAGGAAAATCACATTGGCAAGGGCCCCAGAGGTGTGCTCCTGCAAAGCCTGAGTCTGCTTCTCTATCCCGAGCTGTTTTCCCAGTTGGGAGGACTACTCACTACCCGCTTGCACAGCACTTAGCAAAGCGTCTGGTACTAAATGGGCAGTTAGTAAATGTTTGTTTCGTTCATACAGATACAGAAAAATTCATAATCTGACTTTTGGAAGGGACCAGAGTCCTCTATTGGAGAAAGTCAAGGCTTAGAGAGATCAACTTGGGCACAGAGCAGGCTAACAGGGGGAAAGGTCAGAGTCTCAACATCCAGATTCCTGAAAGGCGATTCACCCTGCTTCCTTGAGGTGGGGGACCGTTAGAAGTGAGCGGCATGCTGTTCCGAGTTGCTGCCCTAGTCCACCAGTTCTCAGACCTGGATGACGATCCACATTCACCTCAGGAACTGTTAAAAATATATACACTCTATTTTATAGTGTATAAATATATAAAATACAGTGTATAAATATATAAAAATATATATACACCGGGTCCTTCAGACCTGGTGGCTCAAGCTCTCCCGCATACACAGGTGTGTGCTTTTAGAAACTTATGCAGGTGATTCTAACACACAGCTAAGTTTCAGAACCACCAGCTCCAAGATCCACTTTCAGTACGACTTGGTCATATCATTTCTAAGACAGAAAAGCAAAATGACTGAATCAGTTTCAAAAAGCTATGGCCAGATGGCAGGTGACCCCTTTCCAGCAACGAGTGAGAAGCCAAGAGAGGAGAAAATCTCGATCCTAGAGGGACTTGGGGACTGTCGCCCCAGCAGCTGGCAGCAGTTCTCCCGTGCTCTCAGGGCCTGGGCCATGTCACCCTCGAACGGCAGACGCCAACAGGGCCCGTGGGCTCAGAACTACTCCCCGAGCAGCACAGTCCTGGCCCGCTCTCTGCCCACGGTCACGGCCACCTAAACTCAGAGGTGTGCCTCCTGCTCCTAGGGCACAGTTCAAGGGCATAGCTTCACCCCCCTCACACAGGCAGCAAAAGGAAGCACGGCCTGGCTGAGCAGGAGACGGGCCTGCGGTGGGGAAGATGGTTGGCAAGCAGTTCTAAAATTCACTGAGCAGAGTTAGAAATTGTAGGCTGTTGAATGGGAAGATGTCTTCAAGCTCTAGTTGAAGTTCTACATTTTATGGACACAAAATTAAATGAACCTCAGAGAGGAAAGAGTGATATTAAAATGACTTTCAACTCAAAGATTATAGAAGAGATTATAGAAACGTGTGTTTATACATTTTAAGGGCAGGATGGACTGTTTAAATAAATTTGGGTATATTCATACAGTGAAATATTTCTGAAGCCTTTAAAAGGATATTCCTTAACAGAGAGAGATGTTCAAGATATAGGGCTGAGTGTCAAAAAGAGATTACTAATTTTGTATTTAAAAGAAAACTATCTGTATGTGTTTATAGACCAAGAATGGCATTCAGAAATATTTTTTCAAGTTGAATACAGTTAGCCCTGAGTATTGGGATTGTAGAATTTTGTTGTTTTAAAATCTTTCAATGAGCATGTACTATCTTTTTTAAATTGAAGCACGATTGGTGTACAAGTTACAGGTGTACAGTATAATCACAGTTTTTAAAGGTTATATTCCATTTATAGTTATTATAAAATATTGGCTATATTTGGCATTGTACAATATATTCAGGTAGCTTATTTTATACTGAACAGTTGTACCTCTTAATCACCTAGCCCTATAGTGCCCCTACCCCCTCCCCTCTCTTCACTAGTAACAACGAGTTTACTCTTTGTATTTGTGAGCATCTTCTATCATCTACTATTTTTAAAAATTTTTTCTATAACTGACTTACAATGCTGTGTTAGTTTCAGGTGTATAGCAAAGAGCATTAGTTCTACATACACAGCATGTACTGTTTTTCATAAGAAAAGTGAGGACAAATATTTCTATGTGGGGGGAAAAACACAGGGTACCAGACTTTATATAACTAGTCTCCTATGAGACTAGGTCTCTTTAGGGCCTTGTTAAAAGAAACACTGACGTGAACAGCAGACACATTCATTTAATTTCTCTCTTGGGAAAACTGCTCATGATTTTCTAACAAACCAACTTCCCTAAAAATGATCAGACACAATCTGTTGTGTTTTAGGGCATTTAAAGTCCTTCAACCCACACAGATGGTTCAGACAGTAAAGAATCTGCCTTCTTGAAGGAGACACAGGCTTGATCCCTGGGTCAGGAATATCCACTGGAGAAGGGAATGACTACCCACTCCAGTATTCTTGCCTGGAGAATTCCATGCACAGAGGAGTCTGGCGGGCTACAGTCCGTGGGGTCACAAAAGAGTCGGACACAACTGAGTGAAAAGACACTTTTTCTCACAATACACAGAATGACACAGAGGGAGAAAAGAAAGTTACACCACCCATCATATGAATTGAATCATTCTAATTTCCTCCTCATTCTAATTTCCTAGAAAAAGAAACACAAAATGGCAAAATAGTTGCCTGGGGAGGCCTTACAAATAGCTGTGAAAAGAAGAGAAGCCAAAAACAAAGGAGAAAAGGAAAGATATACCCATTTGAATGCAGAGTTTCAAAGAATAGCCAGGAGAGATAAGAAAGCCTACCTCAGTGATCAATGAAAAGAAACAGAGGAAAATAATAGAATGGAAAAGACTAGAGATCTCTTCAAGAAAATCAGAGATACCAAGGGAACATTTCATGCAAAGATAGGCTCAACAAAGGACAGAAAGGGTATGGACCTAACAAAAGCAGAAGATATTAAGGAGAGGTGGCAAGAATACACAGAAGAATTATACACTAAAGATCTTCATGACCCAGATAATCACAATGGTGTGATCACTCACCTACAGCCAGACATCCTGGAATGTGAAGTCAATGAATTACAAAGCAGAGACATTGTCGACAAAGGTCTGCATAGTCAAAGCCATGGTTTTTCCAGTAGTCATGTATGGATATGAGAGTTGGACCATAAAGAAGGCTGAGCGCCGAAGAATTGATGCTTTTGAACTGTGGTGTTGGAGAAGACTCTTTTTTTTTTTATTCCCCATCCCGATCCCCCCTCCCACCTCCCTGGAGAAGACTCTTGAGAGTCCCTTGGACTGCAAGGAGATCCAACCAGTCCATCTTAAAGGAGATCAGTCCTGGGTGTTCATTGGAAGGACTGATGTTAAAGCTGAAACTCCAATACTTTGGCCACTGATGCCAGAACTGACTTATTGGAAAAGACCCTGATGCTGGGAAAGATTGAAGGCGGGAGGAGAAGGGTGGACAGAGGATGAGATGGTTGGATGGGATCACTAACTCAATGGAGATGAGTGTGAATAAACTCCGGGAGTTGGTGCAGTTGCGAAGAGTCAGACACAACTGAGCAACCAAACTAAACTGAACTGAATTTCCTACTGTACAAAGCAAACTATCAAAAGATGGTTAATTACACTGAATTATGAAACAGCCAGGCTTTCCCCTTCATTTCTTCCCAATGCTCACCTGGCTTTACCTTATTTTACTATTCTTGGGTTATAGCTTTGTATCCTGGTCCTACCACTTACTAGGTACATGACCTTGGGCAAGTTTTTCTGGGCCTTAGTATGCTCATCTGTCAAGTAGGGATGATAAACCTCATTGTGTTGCTATGAAGATTAACTTAGTTAATACATGTTAAGCACTTAAACAGGGTAAGCACTCAGAAATATTACTTTACTAGGTAGTAATTATGTGATAATTTTATTATTATCATAGGAGGCAAAGGATTAAAAAGAAAAGAGAGCAATAAGAACACTCCAGTCCTTCTGGCTAAGTAGAGCATAAAGGATTACTAGCATTGTTAATACAGGAAAGAGGAGATTAGAGAATTACTCATGGATTTTAATTGTACTTCACTCTCCAAATCCAAAATGCTACAGAAAGTAAAG